GGCGTCTCTGGCTGCTACTTTTGTAACTGGGGAAGTTGAGTTGCATGGAGACCTCTCTACAAAGCAATAAGACTTCATTTTGAATGCTGCAAAGGAAAAAAATAATAATAATTCATACAAACTTCTTGCGGAAATATAATTTGACCTATTGGTGTTCTATAAAAATATTTTCCTCGTTCACTTTCTATTTGTTTCACCGTGGCAGTCTCTGTGTTCCCATTAGTTTTGGATTTTTTCTTTCTTCTTTTTCTCTTTCTTTTTCTCTTTCATTCACATTTATTCTTTCTTTCTCATCTAATTTTTTCTATTGTTTTATCATCTCGCCACAGGGAGCCCAAACACGGCCGCACCCACTAAATCAGCGGCTACTCCCATCCCCATATGCGTCATTTTTAGGCGAAGCAAAAAAATAAAAACCTCGAAGATTTTCAGTTGGTCACGAATTTTACCATGAATTTTTAGCTCAAAATCTTCATCGATCTCGGTCAAAATGGAGCAGCTCATTCCAGTGATTAATAAACTTCAAGATGTATTCAACACAGTTGGAGCTGAGTCGATTCAATTGCCACAAATCGTTGTAGTTGGCTCTCAGGTTTGTAAGAAAAAATGGTGTCCGTTGAGTGAATCTCAAMTAAAAAAATTCGTTATTTCGATCATTATCTGCTTCTGTTCTTTGAATTTAGACTATGCTATTGCTTATTCAGTTAGTAAAATATGTTTTTAGGTCTTATTTTTGAGGCTATTTGTTTTATATCTCGTTCTATTGCAAAATACCGGCGTATCGTGAACTGTACTTTGACCGGACTTTTTACGTTCTTCATATATATGTGGGAGTAATATTGTTATCATATASAATGAATCCTTTCTACAGATATTATAAAAACAAGGGATCAACCAAGTTGTACAAGACCTTAACATGACTATTTATAAATCTTATTCCCTCTAGAAGAAGAGATCGAGTGCCGTGAATTTAGATTTGACTTTAGATTATTTCTTGTCGCTTCGATCACGTTATCCAGTTCTGAATTTATAAATTGTGTTCGTTCGATCACATTAATAAATATGTTCACACCTGCTTTTGTTTCCATGATACAATTTAAGGGTTTAATTATTCAATTCTACGCTTCATATCTTTAGTAGAAGCAATAAACGAGCTATTTTCTAACACAAGTTATAAACAACACGTATTTTCGATTGCATTTGTTTTGAACGAGATATTTTCTCAGCTTATTCCCAATCGCTATTTATTGAATTGGACAATTCCTATGTACAATTTAAATATTTCGAATTATTTTGGATAATATAATTTCAGTTTATGTGCATGATATATGAATCCCATAACAATATGTTTATACGTGCACAATGTTGTATACTAATACTAGCTATATATTGCTGTTAATGATCAACAGAGTAGTGGCAAGAGCTCAGTGCTAGAAAACATTGTGGGAAGAGATTTCTTACCAAGAGGTTGGTTGTAAAAACTTCTAATGACCTGTTTTGTATTAGAACACAATACAGAATATACCTTTAGGGGGGGAGGTCTTGTTATGACACAGTGCTTGTGAGAAAAGAGATTGAGATGTGGACCTTATATTGAGGGTTGGACACAGCTGACAAGCTGTGAGGACAGGTTGTTAAGACTGCATGCCTTGTCAACATTGTGAGAGGATTGGTTTTCTCGTACTGATGTACACATTCATGATACAAAAACATGGTTTTGTATCATGAATGTGTACATCAGTATACAACATAGGCTATGAGTCTTATGTCTACATACATGTGTGTAATTTTTTGTAAATATTATTTTTTTTATAGGTTCTGGTGTAGTAACTCGTAGGCCGTTAGTTCTCCAGCTCATTCATGTTGCTTCCAAGACAAAACCTGTGAAGAAATCTCAAAAGGATTCGGAAAAAGAAGAACTCAAGGCAGAAGAAAATGCAGGTGATAAATGTAAGAAAATCATATTCTTGGATCAAATTTTATTTCTTTTGTACTATGTGACATCTATTTCTACAAAACTCCACGTTCTAAGTATTTTTGAATCTTCTAAAGTTTACAGTGATGATAATGAGGATGACRAGGAAGATGGAGATGAGAAGGAACCAGAGGAATGGGGAAAGTTTTTACATTTAAAAGAAAAGGTAAAATTTTATGACCAATTAATAGTGCATAATTTACTAACAAGGTGTAGTTCAAAAAAAATTATCCATACCCCATTAACAGAGGATTTTTTTTCTTAGACCCCCCACCCCTACCCCTGGAAATTTTGAACGACAATATTTTTCAATACAAACTCTGTAATTTTTGTTCTTTGTCAGACCTGCCTTCCCACTCCCTCCCTYCCCAAATCTCTGGAAATTCCAAATTCCTCTGTGGGGTGGAACTCTGGAACTACACAATAGACCTCATTAGCTTGCAGTGTACTCAATATGTGTGCAATGTTTTCCCATTTCAAACCATGTGTCATCCCATCATTTCCTTGATGTTTTTACACGATGAGAAGACACATGAATAGAGATACAACTCAGTCATCATGATCAAATGTACCTTATGGTCTGAAATGTGAAACATACCCAAGTTCAGGGCTTGAAATTGCGGCCTGCCAATGGCCAAATGACAGGCCAAATTTCAGGTTTGGCAGGCAAAAATACCGATGTGCTGCCAAATGAATAATAAAATGGCATGAAAAATTTACTGGAATAACCTCCATTTACCATGCTCCTCTACTATGGCAGGCTAATAAAAATTCCTAATTTGAGCCCTGCAAGTTAAAGAGCTGTGCTTTTAAATTTCTTTATCAAATTTGATCTTGGTTTGAGTAACATGTACATAGCTGTGGCCTGACCCAGAGGTTGTTTCAGAGTTTGTTAAATTAAAGGTCTGCATTGTTTGTCTTTTTTGCAGAAATTCAGTGACTTTGATGAAATAAGAGATGAGATTGAGAGAGAAACTGAGAGAGTAACTGGAGTTAACAAGGTAGAAATCATCTGATACCACACCATATATACCAACAACAATTTTCTTTAGTCTCTCTTAATGATATTTAGTACCTTCAGAGCAGCTAACATTCACTTGAATATCATTTTCAGGGTATTTCAAATGAACCAATTAATCTCAAGATTTTTTCTCCAAAAGTAGTCAACCTGACACTAGTTGATCTTCCTGGCATCACAAAGGTTTGTTATGATAATGCTTCTCATCAGTAGCTGTAGTAATACCTGTGAAATGATGGAAGTAACAAGGTAGATATTGGAGGAGAGAATTCCATATTGTAGGCATGTGGCCTTCAAAACTTTTCTGAAAATGTCAATGCTTTGATCGTTGTCCTTCAAAACAGTACTTTGTTGACATCAAAAAATCAATTTCCCATGTTTACTATTGAGAAACAATGTAAGTGATATATATATATATATATATTATATATGTGTTACTTGTGGTTATATAACCTTGATTTCATAATAATTATGTAGAACTTGTATTAATTAATCAATTTGTTTTTCTGAATAATTGATGTCRAAATGAGACCAACCTTGAATATTAATCAGATACTAGTACTATCAAGGGAAACATGTATAGTAGACCTATGTTTTATGAAGTTCAAAAACATTTGGGTCCTTCCTATTCCTCTAACCTTGCAGACATGATACCCAGCCATCATACTGATAAAATTGTGACTAGTGTCCTGCAAAGAGGACCAGTCTTAAAAAAATATTTTGCTGTACCAAACACTGTCCATTGAACAGCTGTTATTTTTAGCCCTGTATTTTTGTGATTATGTAGTATTTAAACTACTGTACTATTAACCAAGTTTAAACTTTGGGTTACTACATGTAGGTACCAGTAGGCGACCAACCTCATGATATAGAGGCCCAGATCCGTCTTCTCATTCTTCAGTACATCAGAAATCCTAACTCAATCATTCTCGCTGTCTCTCCGGCTAACATTGACCTGGCTACATCAGAGGCACTTAAATTAGCCAAGGAGGTGGATCCAGAAGGTCAGTCAGTCACATAATAATCTAAATAACTTCAGAAAATTAAACAGTTAAAAGTGTATTTTACAACCAACACTTATCCCTGTATGGGTCTCACATGTAATACCACTACATTTGATTTTTATGGCACATTAACAATGGACAGTGCTTTCATTCATTAAACAAAAGTGGTGTAGCAAATCCTGAAATGACCTAGATGGGCTTAACAGATCAAAAACAGTTTTCCGTGTTTGATACTCTGATCAAAACACGCGGGATGATGGGAGAACACGAGAGGAACGTAGGAAACCACGACACGTAGCGGAGTGGTTTCCAGCTTCTCGAGTGTTCTCCTAACATCCCAAGTGTTTTGATCAGAGTATCAAACACAGAAAAYTGTTTTTGATTTGTTTTATAAAATAACAAACRCACGAAAAGATCGAAAAAAAGGAAAGTCTAAGTAAATTCTCCCTACGTGCCGTCTTATTCAAACTGACCAATGAACACGCRCGATAGATTAAAAATGACAATAGCATGTTTTGATACTCTYATCAAACATGGTTTTCRACCAATCATAGCGCGCGTAGTATCCCAATTATTTTATAATGATAGATCTAACTCAGTCCTCCGCTAAGGCACAGATTGAACACTGGTGAACAACCTCTGAGCTAATCAAAGCCTGGGCCTGGCTAACTCACAGATTGAACCCAGAAACAACCTCTGCCAGGCTGGTCTAAGTCAGCACAAGGCTAACTCACAGAACGAACACTGAAAAAACCTCTGGGCTGATGAAAGTCAGGCACGGCTAACTCACAGATCGAACCCTGAAACAACCTCTGGGCTGATCCAAGTCAGTGAGGTGTGGCTAACTCACAGATCAAACTCTGAGACAACCTCTGGGCTGTTCCAAGTCAGTGAGGTGTGGCTAACTCACAGATCGACCCCTGAAACAACCTCTGGGCTGATCCAAGTCAGGGTGGGGCTAACTCACAGATCAAATAGAAGTTAATAGGTTCGATTTGAGGAGGGAGAAAAACCCTCAGATCAAGGAAGAGACCCAGTGCAAAAATACTCTACTCAYATGTGATGCTGAGTCCACAATTGAATTAAAGTTAACTTGACTGTATTTATATTCACAGGTCATCGAACCCTTGCAGTCATTACTAAACTAGATCTGATGGACCATGGGACAGATGCCTTAGAAATGCTGTATGGAAGAGGTACAATATATGTATAAATACCAAGCAATTAGCTTTCTTTTTTCTTTCTTTCTTTTTTTTTAGGTCCTTATCTTCAAAAGTATTTTTTTAAAAATTATAATTAGTATATTATTACAATTACATTATATATTTTTTTAGTCCTTCCTTCTCCTTTATATTACTTTGAAATTAATGTATATATCATCGCTTTTACACCTAACACTTCCAAAGCTTATACACTCAGCTCTCATTTATCCCAAATCTCAGGGTTACATAACTAACTCAATATAGGGACTACAGTGTCAGGGATTTATTTGGTTTGTGTTTACAGTTATTCCAGTGARGTTGGGAATCATAGGTGTTGTCAATCGTAGTCAACTAGATATCAACAATAAAAAGGTCCGTATTAATTTTATTCAATATCTTTTAGTATATTTTATATTCCCCTGTTATAGGGGGGCACTTTCTATATTTAAGGAATATTTAAGAAATATAATAAACATGTGCACATGTCTCCTGTGCTGTGATATAAACACGCTGAGAGCTGTAAAGCAAGAGAGAACCAAGCTTAGGAACACGAGGCTTAGCTGAGTGCTTATCGAGTGCTCCACAGCTCCCAGATTGTTTCTATCACAGTACATAGACATATTAAGCAGCCATTTTATATTGCTATTATAAAATATTTTTGAGCAACTTTGCATGTGCGTGTCTCTGTCCTCTGATATAAACAAGGTAGCCAGCCAATCAGAGCTGTGTGTTATATATCAAATATTTTATAATCATCAACAAATGGTCTGTTGTGCAGGAGGTTGTGGTTCAAGCCTCGGCTGGACCAACACTCAGGGTCTTAAAATAGCTAAGTTAAAATGGTCATCTGAGCCATGTGAACCATTTGCGGATGTACAAAAAGGCAGCACCTTCTCCTTGAGGACCACTAGTTTATCAGTTGAATTTCTGTCAAGTGTTATCCTCTATGAACAAAGTTTATTTATTTATCTATTTTATTTAAGAAAAACTTTAATTGGACTGAGGCAAAATGTTACTAAATAATTTCCATTGGTTTTTTACAGTCAATACAAAAAGCATTGAGAGATGAAGCATTTTTCTTCAGCAAGACTTATCCAACCTTAGCCTCCAGAAATGGAACGCCGTACTTAGCAAAGACACTGAACAAGGTCAGTCAAATCTTTAAAAAAACATACTACTTAATAGCTGACGTTTTAGATGTTTACCGTGTCAGTGTAGGAGATTTAGGGGTGAGTCAACAAAACAATGCTTCTCGCAATAGGTTTTTTCAGCTGTGAGACTTAAGGCATATAAAAGACAAAAAAAGGAGACAGTAAAAAAACATTTTTGTTTTCAGAGTGCAACATTTATGCTTGAAAACCATTTTGGGATTTCTTTGTTTCTGCCAGAGGCCTTGTTTTGGCCAGCGAACTGAAGCTTCAGCCTCTAAACATCTTGAGCGTCTACTATACTATTACATGGCTGTATGCCTTTAGTTACCATTTCTGAATATAGATCTAGACTACCTAACTAATATATCTTCTCACTGATATTTTTCAGTTGTTAATGCACCATATACGAAATTGTTTACCAGAGTTAAAATCCCGTGTCAATAGTATGATTTCCCAGTATCATCACTTACTCCAGAGTTATGGAGAACCTGTAGAAGATAAAGTAAGTAAAGTGTACTGTMTATTACTTTCATTTCCAACCACATAATACATGTAGTCCCCTTCCTCATTCAGTAAATACTGCTATGACTCATCTACACAGGCTTAGCCTAGTTGAAAATCAAACCAGACGTTCTCTTGCAGGGAATATTCCCACATTCTGTCGTGACATTGGAATGTTAACTGAACATCCAGTTTGACTTTAGAGCAATTGATTTGCAAAAGTCAGCTGTAATGTTAAGAATGATCAGCTTGAACAATACCAACGTGTTGAAATCCCACAGACTTTTCCTGGCATTTGACTCATAAATGAGTCAACCATTAAACAAAGAAATGTCATACTGTAGGAAATGATATTTGGTCTGAAATGGGAAAATATTACACCCAGGGTGAAGAGGTTTATTATATATGTCATTTTATTATATAATTACCAATGAAATATCAATTTTTCTCTATTTCGAAACATTGATATCTTCACACGTGAAAATAACATGTTATTTTCACATGTGAAAATAACACCATTGCGATGGCTATTCAAAAATACACGGAAAGAATTGCCTGAAAAAGCCAAAACATACTTCATTGATAATTATATAATAAACAAAATATTACATGGGTACTTGGAGATACGCAATTTATCTTCTCGTGTTGAAAATCTCTCACTGGTTTGCTGTGCTCACTATTGAGAGATCTTTTCAACACTCAGAGATAAATTTCGTATCTTTGCTCGCCCATGTAATATCCTCTATTAATTTACAATACATCACAATATGATATCTCCTGAAGACCATGATTATAGCTGCATATGTTTTATGGTACAACTGTACATTCATTTGATAATTCTGTATCTGCAGGGACCATACCTTCTTCAACTTATCACTCGATTTGCTGCATCGTATTGCTCAATAATTGAAGGAAGAGCAAAAGACATAGAAACTTCTGAACTGTATGTAAACTATTAATAATATTATCATCATAATTAATAATTTATTTCAGAATTTATGGAAAATTCTGTAAAATAATTAAACTTCAAGAAAATCAGTTGTTTCCTAGCAGTTATTGTACATGGTTCCCTGTCTCACCCCTGGGGTCTCGGGTAGTATTTCGAGCAGAAGTTTGAGCAGAGTTTGTTAGGCCTCCCCTTGATTTAAGGGATTTCCTCCAGGTTCTCCAGTTTTCCTCCCTTAGTACAGAAAAACCTATAACAAGCTTAATTTCAATTCTATTTATGAGTTAGCATTGCCCTGACCTTGATCAGTTCGTAAGTTGTTTGAAGGTATCAATAAAATTTGAAGTCTTTTAATTTATTCCACTATGATGTTAATGCATTACTTTTACTTCAGAATCCAAACGTTTGCCCATATTTGCCATGAAATGAGCTAAATCATYATAAAATAATATTATACTTGGATTCTCTTCCATTTAGTTGTGGTGGTGCTCGTATAAGTTACATATTTCATGATATCTTTGGACGCACGTTGACAAACACAGATGCCATGGAGGGACTCTCCACTAGAGATATYCTAACTGCCATTAGGAATGCAACGGTATGAATCATTCTAATGACATGTAGCTAAAGTATAATGCATGCTCTTCAAGATTGGTTACAGTAATTGGCATTAGTCTATAACACTATGGACTTTACACTTTATTCCATATTTCTCCAGAATATTTAACTTTTCTCTTATCAAATTTCTCTCCAGTAAATMACATCCTCTTAAAAGATTACCAAAACTAAAGGCATGACTACGCAGAGCAATTTTCTCTACAACTTTTCTTGCAACAGCATGTTGCAAGAGGATTTATGAGGTGCAATGGAGATGTAATCATCCTTGCAAATAGTAGAAACGATTTCTACTTTTTGCAAGGATTGCTGCAGCAAAACATTAAAAAAATTTAGCTGTAGGCTACACGCTGCAAATCACCATGCAACTGTGTCGCTGTTGCAAAACGAGTTGCATTGAAAATTGCTCAAGATAATCGCACCTTAAATTTATAAAGACGGATATCCCAAATGTTTATGGGTGCACTCTAAGTGTGAAACATTTTAAAACAAAAAACAAAAAACAAAACACAAGGGTACACTGTCCTTATTGGTGTGAATGAATCCACTGTTATGTTTCAGGGTCCAAGGCCTGCTCTTTTTGTGCCAGAGATATCCTTTGAACTACTGGTTAAACGTCAGATAAGACGTTTGGAAGAACCAAGTTTGAGATGTGTGGAACTTGTGCATGAAGAAATGCAGAGAATTATACAACATGCCTTCCAGCAGGTATGACAGGTGCTTGCTCCCTTGCTCCCTTGCTCCCTTGCTCCCTTGCTTCCTTGCTCCCTTGCTCCCTTGCTCCCTTGCTCCCTTGCTTCCTTGCTTCCTCTTCCCCAATTACTTTCTTTAAGACAACTATATTGCAATTTATTCAAGATTAAGCCTATGATTTCACATTGATTCCAGGTTTTGGAGATTAAAAGATTCCCCAAACTACATGATAGTATTTTTGAAGTGATCACTGATCTGTTACAGCGGCGGCTTTATCCTTGCAACAGTATGGTAAGCACGGCGTGGGACAATCACGACAGAGCTAGGCTCCAAACTAGGTGAAAGCCCAAAGATCGAATTAGAATTTAGTAGTTGATTTTTGTGGAGGGAGGAAAACCGAGAACCCAGAGAAAAACCCTCGAAGCACAGGAGAGAACCAACAAACAACTCTACTCACATACTACACAGGAGAGAACCAACAAACAACTCTACTCACATACTACACAGGAGAGAACCAACAAACAACTCTACTCACATACAACATAGAGATCGGCAGGACTCGAACTCGGGCCGCATTGGTGAGAGGCGGTGCATTAGCAGCGCACGCCACTCGTGCTTCCCTTGAAAGGGATGAAAGGATATACATGTCAAGCAATGCCTACAAACAGTTGATCTAAAGGGAAGAGGACTTGAATTTGTACTCACACGTATATGCATTGCTCAACTACCTACTAGTAGATAGCTTAACCGTAGACAACCAAATAATAATAATTCATTAAATATTGTTTGTTTTCTAAGTAATAAAACATTTTGGTGAAACTGTTATTTTTCTTTAGGTTGAGAATCTAGTATCCATTGAGCTTGCCTACATCAACACTAACCATCCAGACTTCACAGATGGAACTTTACTTGTCTCTACTGTTGTGCATAGTCAAGAARTKGTAAGTCATACCCTGAAACAACCTYYKGG